CACAATTTGTTATTACTTTGCGGCTTTAAATGTTGCGTTATCCACGATGAACAAATTGGTGTTGACATTTGTTGTTTACTTAATCTCCTTGTTATTTTTATCTATCAATAGACTTTACATCACAAGCATTACTGACACATCTGAAACATCGATTTATCTTAAAACATGTTTGGTGCAGGGTTATCCATGAAGGGCCCGCGTTTTAATCGAGTTTTAAACTAAAATAGGCTATCTATTTTAGTTCCCTATTCATTTATAAAAATATTTTAATTTTGAACTGTAATGAAGTACTCCTCTTTGCGTTTATACCTAAATGATATACACAAATACACAATATCATATTGAAAACATGTAAGTATCCAGGAAAAGGAAATATAACATCGCATTGATACCAAGAGAAAATTATTTTATGGTTACCTCATCTGAGCTCTGTTTTCCGGGACAGATTGCTGATGACCGGTTTTCATTTACGGAATTTTCCTCGCCGCTGTTTCCTGGTTTCTGACTAACACTTGTCCTCTGTTTCCGGTGATTTCTGACTCGTTTGACCCGTCGTCTACACCGTGCTAAGATAAAAACCAGTAAGATTTTCAATATTGGTATATACATGCATTCATTTACATTATACATATGTATATTTATTTGCAGTATACGTATATCTATTCCGTCTTTGCGTATTGCAGAGTTGTCTTCTCTTGTGAGCAGGGATTGATTGTTACGTCATTGGTTTGTGTGAGAAAATTACGTCGTTTTCTCAAAAATTGATGACGTTACTCTCACAAACCAATGACGTAACCAATACCTGCTCACAAGAGAGATAACTCTGCAATACGCAAAGACGGAATATGTGAACTGTGAAATTTAACTGTAAATATAAACGTTTATGTGTAGGGTACATTTATATTTATATGATACATAAATCTGTATATGGTAAACTTTTTCTAAACAGTAGAGATATCTATATACGATAAACGTATATTTATAACATGCAGGTATATCTTTATGGTAAATATATATTTTATAGTACATGTTTATTGAGATGGTAAACCTATATTTATAAGTACCGGTTTATTTATTGAGTAAATGTTTATTTGTATGGAACATGTTTATTTATATGGTAAACTTTTTCTAAACAGTAGAAATATCTATATACGATAAACGTTTATTTATAACATACAGGTTTATGCATATGGTAAATATATATTTCATAGTACAGGTTTATTGAGATCGTAAACTTATATTTATAAGTACAGGTTTATTTGTATGGAACATGTTTATTTATACGGTAAACGTTTTTATGTGGTAAAAACATGTTAAATATAAAATTATATGGTATGGTATATCTTATGGTAAACGTATATTTATATGGAAGGTAAGTGCATCTTGACATACATTAATAATACACGATAAAAAAATAGAAAGACAACACTTTTTTATGTTTATGACATACCGTTAAGTTAATTGTTGCGTTTGTAAACTAACCTAGTATGCACTTCACAGAAATATCGCAATCGACTACAAGTTTCGAAAGATACGACTTAAATAGCCAAAGGATATATATCTTTTACAGTGCTCGCCTTGCTGTTAAGAGTCCCATTGTAACTATTGTATCTCTTTTTTGTTTGTTGAGAAAGGCATTCTTTAATCTGGACCAACATTTTATATAGTTTACATCAGAGCCTTTTGAAATATATCTCTGTCTACCATCGATCAGATACTAAATCAGGGAAGACTAAATATGTAATGGTTGTTATAGCTCTACTATGGTTACTTACAGGTAAGTCCTCCCAGAAATGCTCCCAGTCTGTGAAGGATTCCGGACTTGGAACTGATTTCATCTTGAAGTGTTGGTTGTTCTTCTATGGCTATCATCAAGAATGAAATAAATATTAAATGAATTTAACTAAATTCCAACATGGTTACATTAAAGTATATCCTGTTCAACTTTGAGATATTGGGTGATATATTTAATTGTGACAAAACATACCTGTAATAAAACCAGCATTTTAGGTAAGGAGAGTCACTGTAGCACACAATTAAACGTAAACTCACCAGTACGTATCAGACTTACAATAGGATAATGGATATAATTGACGCGGCATTTAAATCTATTCCGATGTCTGTTGATTTTATCTTAAGTGGCGAAAACAATTGTAAACTGGCATTGTCATGAATTAATAGTAAATCTGGTATAGATTTTAAACGTATGATATATTCTACGTATATTTTGACACTATTTTCACCCTAAACAAACAAGCAAACACACTCTATGAAATATATTGTTTCAAATATCACATTTTCGAAAGTATTTTATAAATATTCTCTAGATTTGTATTGATATGTCTATCATACAGACCTACTTGATTACATGGAATGCTAACCTGGTAATATAAGACGAAGGACATTGTTACCCAAGTCATAATTATATAAGCAATATTATTATACTTTTGTGTTTCTACGTATAAGAAACCAATTAACATGTACTGGTAATTAAGCGAGTTATAACAATAAGATGTGACTTACAGGAAGTACTTCCACTCATAACGTTCCGGTAGCTGGTTCACGGAATACATGATCGGACTAACCATAAAACCAATTGGATAATTTGGCCAGACGAACCTTCGTTAAGGATTCGAGCACCTACATTCAAAATCAGTAAACGTAATAAATGAATAATGGAATTTTATCATCATTATATTTGTCAACGTTAGTGTATTTCTTAAATCGGTGGAATATTGTTATAAATCTTTATAAATATGATTTTATGCTGTTATGGTAGCAATAGTATAACACTGTTTTATTAAAGAGGTCGGCCTTATTTAAAGAGAGCGTTTATTTTAAATCAATATCACTATAATAAATCAAATATAAATTGACATTTGAGAAAACACTTTTCAAAACAAAATTCAAAAAACGAAAACGTAATTTCGATCAATTCAATTGATCATTTTATTGTTCAAAGCACACAAAATTATTTTTAACTTCATACAAATTATCTTCCGATGCATTTTATTCTTTATTCTCAACAGTATCGTGTTCTATTGTTTATCAAGATTACGTCAGGCATTTTTTTAAACATAATTATGAATATCTAACTTTATTTCAAGAAAGGTACGAGCCACTTTAAGGTCTTATTTTACTTACATATACTGTTATAATACTAGGGTGACTGTTTACTCTTACATTCGATAGGATGACATAAAACCTGAAATCAAATATTTCCCCGTACTGCTAAGGCGGAAAGCTATCTAAACAAACTCGGGTACATTAGAACATTAAGGTAGTCGTACAGGATCCGTGGGTAAACATTTAACGGTAAACTATGTGGTGTGTAAATTCTAATTAACGCTGAAATAGTCGTATATGTCAAGAGCACATAGTGAAAAGTATGTGCTACTACAAAGCTTCTGAGACAGGTATATGTACTTGAATAGTTAGCTTAACAATGGCGAAATAAATGGACTGTTCTTATTACTTTTACTATCTTGCACTTGCCTGCACTTTCTTTATTATTTGGAGAGAAAAAAAAGTTTATTAAGGTCAAAAATGAAGATTATTATTTATTTGAGAAAACAATGCATCTCGATCACAATCCCACGGCAAGATCACAGATAAATTCACAATAACGTCAAGCTGAGAGTCAATGAGGCAGTCAGTTATAATTGTGTATTTTCTTTGTTTACAAGATGATTCTCAAACAACAATCTGTATTATCCAACACCCCTGTTATCCAACTTAGGATTGTCTCCCGATCAAAGGGAGATGGATTCATTATAGAAAGAAAGGTTTTTATGTAAAGATTTTAATATTAAGAGGACTAATATAATGTAAACTTGTATAGTATATGTGTATGCTATTTTGGTGAATCGGACCCTCGGGACGTTGTTCAACCAATTTATAATCTGTCCGGTTTGTCACCCCAGCTACCACCACGGCGCCAATAAAAGGGGTAAAGTCTGTTGGAATTGTCTGTTTACCAACACTTAAATGTTTATTAAGATAAGGTTTCAGTGAAAACAACCGTCAATATATCATTTTACCGATATTAAATATTTAACGAACTGTTTTACATTTACCTATTTCAGTTTAATTTGAACCCAAATGTAATCATTCGGTGTAGAATGCCAATTAGTTTTCTTACTTATTGAACCTACAGATATTTATTTTCTTATGTTCTTATTTATCAATTTATTTATTTATTCATGTTTGTATCCTTCTAATGTATGTTATTTATAAAATAGAGAACAAAGTCTATCAGATAGTTATTACACAATGACAAAACAAGAGAAAGTGAGGAAACACCAGATGAAAGAAAGACATTATGACTCCCCACTTACAACAGGAGACAAAGCCTGATACTCCAGTAGGGTAAGTGTTTCCGGAATGTTGTCAAATTTTATTACAACATGTCATTATGTGCAGCTTATAACTGAACAAACCTGAGCAGCGCAAACTATTGGGACTCATTGACCATATAAACCGCAATACTCTAGATAATATACTTTTAACATTCATGGTAGATAAGCTACGTATTCTCTTGTAAAACTAACTTAAAAGTCATTAAGGAAATATCTATTGCCTTGCCACTTGTTAACGCTATTCAACTTAAGAAGACAATTCAAACCATTAATAAAACTATGGATTTTGAAGAAATAAATGATACTCAACTCCCAAACAATTATCTCATTAATACTGATATATAGGATACATATTGATAAAAAAAAAAAAAAGTAAAAAAAGGTTGAAGCAAGTGAAAAAGACCAAACTTCCCTGGCTCAAATGTCTACCACTCGTTGCTGATCTTTAAATACAGATCTGACATGCTTTCTTTTATGATAACCTGTTAAATTTCGTCCTTGAAAGTGCTCGCCGCAAACCAAGATTTTGGGTCATCCGCTGTAGGTTCGGTTCCCACTCACGAGGGTAATCGACAAGAAAATCTTTTGGTTGTTTATTGTTAACATATGATCCCGGTGTTATGACGGTTGATTAGTGATTCGTCACCAAGATGACCAATAAATCTTACTTCTGGCCAGAGTCGCCATGCGCAAAGTGTTGGCGATCTCCTGATCAGATTTAGATTTCACTTGGAATGCATCGGAAGCAGCAAAAAACAAAACACAGTCGAACAGCACGGTCAGTTGCATATTGATTTCGGGCTGAAATATAAAGTGTTGAAATGTCTTACACTGAAATCTAATCAGAATAAAGTGAAAATACGGATTGTAGTTTTAAAGAAATACTGGAAACATTAAAATGGATTAAACATATTTTTTTCTCTTTGAATGCATTACTGTATTCGTTGCTTATGACATATTTCGCTTATTGAAAGTTATATAACACTGTTGTTCATCAGTTGATTCTGGACTTGTGTAACTCCCAGTCATTCTAGATATATCTAATATATCTTAAGTCGACATCATCAGATTACTTGAATGAACACATTGAATAATTTATAAATGTAAAAGTGTAATTATTACTGCTATAACATTCAGCTCATTGTACAACCACGTACCAATAAGTGAACACATTGTATTGAAAATTGATTATATCTTACCTGAGGTTTCTGAGGACGAGGATGTGTAAATGATATTTCGGTCAGTAGATATATATGAAAATCTTAAACAATCTAAGACAATTTCGGCCAATCAGTGGCGATTATTGTTCTGTAGATAAACTGGACATTTGCACAGGTCACACGTCCTGGTGACCCGTCTTTAACACTGTCTTACTTAATTATATCCGTGACCTTCCCTTATGGCATATTGGACTACTAGTTATTGGCAAACGTTAGGCCAGACAAACTTTCGTCCTTTACCCGTATATTCCATATATGTCCGGCGTTAATTTCGCAATTACATGTTATGACTAAATGTAGAATGTTGTTCGATGTCAGGAGGGCGAAAAAGGCGAAAGCTACCACACGCTACCACAATTAGTATAATAAATTTTGACACTTTTTCAGTGATATTTAAAAATCCAGATGTTTTTATTTAAAATGGTGTTTTTTTTTATTCTTGGCAAAGACTACCCTTGGTGGTTCGTTTTCAGGTAATTTTTTGATTCAAGTACTTTGTTTTTAAAAATAGAACAACAAACTCGTTTTTCAGCCATAATTAGTACCCAAATTGGTACACCACCTTACAGGCTATGGAACTTGTATTTATTTTTTACCAGTTGATGTGTCAATTGCAACAAAATATATTGCTTTTATAAATACCATACTGATCTACAATTGTATTAATACACGTATGAATTATCCGATTATAAATACCATACTGAGCTACAATTGTATTAATACACGTATGAATTATCCGGTTATAAATACCATACTGATCTACAATTGTATTAATACACGTATGTATTATCCGGTTATAAATACCATACTGATCTACACTTGTATTAATACACGTATGTATTATCCGGTATAAGGACCAGAAGTCAACATTTAAACATGCCTATAATCAACCCTTCAAAATCCTCCAAAATTTCGTCGACGTACATCGTTTTTGCAGGTTTTCTGGCATGTTTAGATATAAGTCATTGTGTTCTCTTCAAATGCCACTGAAAACAAACTATTTGGTGGAAAAGTTTATGAATATCTGTTTTGTTATTCCATCAGAGAAAAATACACAAATTCAATTTTAAAGAACTATTCCAACATCTTTCTGACCGTGTACCAGTTTGGGTAGTGTACCAATTGTGGAAGCGTGACGTTATATGTTCAAAATCGTGTTTAAATATCTAGTTTACTGTCTTTAGATACATCAACAAAAGGACATCAATAACCGTTGTGTTTGTAGTGAAGGAAACGTTTACCTTCTAAAATCTTGGTTTTCTTTGATTTATGTGGTGTTCGTGAGTTTTGCTGCATCCTCATTTAATATAGTAAAGCACATTTCTGGTTATCATTTTAGCCTTCTTTTTGCATGATGATTGACACAACAACAAATAGTTGGACCAAATTGAAAGTATGGATAAAATTAGATTTTAATGCATGCGCTGTAATCCTTTACAAAGCACATTTCTAAGTCGATCACAACGTAAGGTACGTCATTGATGTGGCTATGTAGTGGTTTTCAAGAAATTTGACTAACAGTATTTCAGTATTTTATAATTACGAAAAAGATAAATCAACGTATGTAATTATCCATATTATAATTAAATAATTTTCGAGATAAATTCAGTTTTATTCAATAAATACAATACATAACAGTGTCGTACATTGCTGGGCAACAGTTCATTTTGGTGACGTGTTCTTTTGTATATATGATTTACTGAGCACATTCAGTCTGATCACGAGTACGGTAGACTCGCGTTATCGGGTGAACGTAATCGCATATCGTATCGTTATGTAATCAAATAATCATTCTCTATACTACTTTGAAAGCAATCTTTAAATGTTGTGGGTTTTAATGGACTTTGTGTTCTGATATTGAACTCGACGACGCATATTTTTCTTTATGTGTTGACGGTTTGGTATATTTGTGAGTTGACTATGTGATATATTTGACGTGGTGAGTTGAAGCTGTGGTATACTTTGCATGTCTACGATATGGTTTATATTGTTGCTTCGTGTTGTCCATGAAGTTTATTCTGTCCATGTGTTGACGAAATTGTCTATTCTGTCCCAATGTGTATATTTTATTTCCGTGTACTTTGTACTGACGCTGTGGTAAAGTTTATCCTGTGTCTTCACTCTCAAAAATCTTGCCCAAACAAATGCAGTAAATGTTAATGGTATACAGAATCACAATTCATGTGTTCATCTTATCAGTAAAATATTATACTAATGAAATTTGCAGTGTTTTGCAGCTGTCGAATGACAAACAATAAGAATTATTTACCAAACATCTAATCACAACAAAGAATGGGTGCCATATTCAGCCGTTTTACATCCCCTCGCCGATAAGCATTTAGCATGTAAAATATTTTTTCAGTTTGCACTAGCTTCAAACCGTCCATCATCTGCCACGAATTAACCCCGTTGCATAATACCATACAGTTCGCCGTTACCACTGGTGTGGTGCACGGTGTTGTTGCCAATGTCTACGATGAGGATGCCTCCATCTGGACAATAGAATAGCATGTTAGGAATTGCTCAACCGACATCGCTAAGAAATGTTTCTGCGTTTGCTGGGGGTATCGAAATAACTCATTTAAATGTTTGTCCATGATCCATTCATTGATGACCGGTCCGCCACAGCGATATTTTTTGTCACGGGACATTCAGCGATATGCCTCGGCAGGCAAACAATCGGTTTGATGAACAATGAAAAAAGGGTTGGTTTAGTTGTTATGATGACGCCTCCTTGACTGTTGAATTTGGTTATTTGTTTTGACATGCCGATGATAAGATGGCCATCAATGGTTACACATGCGTAAAGGAGACACGTCTGTGTAGAACCTAGGAGTTGACGGTGCTGCCGTCCCCTCGATGATGACGATGAGGATGATGATGATGAGTGAATTAGGTGTAAAAAGGTGGTTCAGAGGGCGTGAAAATGATGAACATGTACATTATGAAACATATAATGATAAAAAAAATTATCAAAATAAAAATTGTGTTGTTTGACACTACATTGATTTTAGATGGCACATACATTTCATTAAAAGAGGCAATTAAAGAATTGAAAAGTTTTGCAAATATTTCTGGACTTAAAATAAACATAGAAAAAACACATGTTGTTTGGATAGGTAGTAAAAAATACAGTGATGAAATTCTTTATCCTGAATTGAATTTGCAGTGGGGGGATAGGAAATTTATACTTTTAGGTATTGAGTTTGATGTAGACTTACATAAGATAACAAAATTGATTTACGATAAGAAATTTGTAAAACTTTGATTAAAACCTGGAAAAGAAGATTGTTGACTCCTATTGGTAGGATACATATCATAAAATCATTATTAATTTCACAATTCAATCACCTTTTTTATCTCTTTACCTAATCCAGATGATTGATTTCTTAAAAAAAAAAAAATATAGAGCTTTTTAATTTTCTGTGGAATAGTAAAATAGATAAAGCTAAGAGAGATGTCATTGTTAAAGATTATATTAAAGGGGGTCCTAAAATGTTACATGTACAGTCGTTTATTGACTCGTTAAAATTAACGTTGGTTAGGGGTTATATATGAATTCTGGTAAATGGCAAGTGATTGTAAAATTATATTGTGATAAAAACATTTTGGCAAATTGTGGAACTGATTATATTTCGAAATGTCTAAATAAAACTAAAAATCTATTTTGGATTGATGTATTTAAGGCATGGAGAAAAATTAATAAAAAATATAAGTCCCCTAGCAGTAAGTTCAAAATGCCCATCTGGTATAACAAAAGTATTTCAATAGAAAATAGAAGCAGATTTTACAGGGAATGGTACAATAAAGGAATAATTGTAATTGATGATCTAATCAGAGACCGAAATATCTATGCTTTATACACATTTCAATAATTCAAACAGATTTATGATATTAATACAAACTTTTTACGATACCAGGGTCTAATTACAGCCATTAGAGAGTATGTAATACAAGAAGATAGGTCAAATGTAGAGGTTAACTATAAATTTATACCAATTAATATAGAAGTGTTTTTGAAAAATAAAAAGGCGATAAGAGATTTTTATAGCTTGTTTTGTAAAAATGATACTATTTCAACAGGTAAAAAAATGGGATGATATATTTCAATTTGATGATGAAGTTTGGAAAAAATATATAAATGCCATTTAAAATTACGAAAAATACCAAATTACAGTGGTTCCAGTTCAGAATTTATCAGCATATTTTGACAACTAATGCGTATTTGTTTAAGGCAGGAATAGTAGATAGCCCTTACTGTGAACTGTGTAAACTAGAAAAAGAGACAATAGAGCAAGTATTATGGGAATGTGACAAAGCACAAAATCTTTTACAAAATTTTGAGTTCTTATTAGATGCATTGATTATTCCATTTGATTATAATAAACAACATTTCTTTTTGGTTTTTATAACTATAATGGACTTAATAAAATTGACAATAGTATTATTTTAATAATAAAACAGTATATATACAAGGCAAGATGTCTTAAAGTGCCTTTATCTATACAAGGAATTAAAAATTCAATTAAAGAACATTACAGTATTTAAAAATATATTGCAAATAGTAAAGACGAAATATATCTCATTAACTTCAAGAATGAGTGGAAAAAATGGAAAAGGCTTATCGATATTTCCTAGACCTACATTTTACCGATTATATGATCTTATTTAAATTCATTTGAAATAAAGGGACAAATTTGAAACATACAATGTATTATCTTAATTACTTAGCTACTGACACCTATATATTACCAGACTTCTATCCTTTACATTGGTTTGTTAAATACTGGTACTTCTCCTCCTGTCTGTCTATCTTTCCGTCTGTCTGTCTGTCTTTCTGTCTTTCTTTCCGTCCATTTACCTGTCTTTATTTCCACTATGCTTTGTTTTCTTGTTTCTCTTATCTGATTTTCCTACCTTTCTTATATAACATTAAAAAAAAAAAAAAATACCACTTACAAAAAGGGCAATATTAAATAGTATGAAAGTATGTGTGAAAGTGGAATTCATTATGTTTAATGAAATGTAAATGTTATTGTAATGTGAAAAATACTTTGAAAATAAACAAATAAAGAAAAAGAAAAAAAGTAATTAAAGAAATAAAATATGTGATTTCCCTGTCACTCCTGTCATTACGTACGATGGCTTTTATGTAAGTATTCTTCATCCTTATGCCACCATTTCGCATCATCGAAATCACAGTAATAGGAATGATGATTTCCCTTTCCACAAGCTGCTGCACGGAATTGTTTTGTGGACGCTGCTGAGATAGGGGTTGCTTATTCCTCGCCTTCTTCCTTCTCGACTGATTACGCAACGGTCTAGATGACCAAGGATGTGCTATAACGGGGGTTCGATTCTCCTCTTCAGGTTGTCTAAAAGGTTTACATGGCTGGTTTGAAGCGGGTTGAAGTTTTGGAGATGATTCTGACTGTTGTTTATCAGATTTTGCAGCTCGTTGTTCTGTCGGGGAGACGACAACTTCGGGTAATTTACCTGTTTGTTGTTCTGATGCTTCTTCCTTGTCCTTGGGTACTTCATTGCCAGGATTTCTTACCAACGGGACATTACTAGGATTTTTGTCTTTCGTCACTGTACCGAACGCGTGTTTGAGGTTGTCAAGCGGCATTAGGTTCGCAGAAAAACTGGCCGTGTTTAGTGTCGGCTTTACTGGCAACGCTACTGGGGATTCAATATTGGCATCACTGTCATACACGGTGATATCATCACCAGTCTGGATCAGAGTCCTACATTCCTCTATCTGACTCTTTAGCATCGCGAATTGGTTTTCGTGTTCTATCTTGTAGTCTTTCAATAGAGTCACGTTTTCTATTTTTAGTTTCTCGTACACAGCGAGTGTTTGGTCTGCAAGAAAATCTATCTTCCGCTTTAGTTTATCTCTCTGTTTCGTTACGTCCGCGGCAAGGCTTTCAAATGTGGCTTCGGTTTCCTTGATCTCGGCGTCAATAGACTTAATACTTTTCCTTATTGAAGGAAGGCCATTTGTTTCATTTTTGCCTATTAACTTTTGTAGTTTCTTTTTCTTCTTTGCAGAAACGTTACTCAGAGTCAAAAAGTCATGACCGCTGTGAATCGAAGACGTACATTCGGTACAGGCAACGTCTTGACAATTTTCACAAAACAACACCGATGATTTCCCATGGTGATACATACATGAATTCTGTCCCTTTACACGAATTGGAATTTGACCTCCCTGTTGTGTTAGACTTTCAGCCATTACGAATTCACAAATCACATATCACTTATTGTGTAGTGTTACAGTATTGTCACACGTTCAGAACGGATGGATAATTCAACCACAATACCGAAGTATTTCCCAAGAACGAAGAAACAATTGATTATAGCATATTCTTACATTTTAACACACACGTCCTTACACGAATCTACAAATGTAAGTCTCGTTCAACCAGACGCTTGGTAACTCGTACCTTGCACAGACAACACGTGTCTGGTTGAACGAGACTAATACAAATGTATGATTTATCGCCTCTATCTCATATGCACTTGAGCAAGACATTGGAGCATGTGCAAAACATCACGTATTGTGTAAGACAATTAAACAAAGATATCTTCTTTTTATTTTGACAGTAGGACTTAAATAGTCCTCCTATATCAGATCAATACAATCAAGAACAAACAACCTGGCCACATGGTGTTGTTTAAATGTTCACAGCGTTTAGTTTTCAGTATCGACTTAATTTATGTTTTACAAAGGATATCTCGTGTTGTAGTGATAATCTAACGTCACAAGGTGGTTGACTCAGCTGATGGACTATCACTCGTTAGATTGGCCGTAACCTTGTAGCTTGAATATCAGTCGTTAGATTGGCCGTAACCTTGTAGCTGGACTATCAGTAGTTAGATTGGCCGTAACCTTGTAGATGGACTATCAGTCGTTATAGTGGCCGTAACCTTGTAGCTGGTATATCAGAACTTACATTGGCCGTAACCTTGTAGCTGGACTATCAGTCGTTATAGTGGCCGTAACCTTGTAGCTGGACTATCAGTCGTTAGATTGGCCGTAACCTTGTAGCTGGAACTGATTCAGTTTAAGAATAAAATATTTGTTGCGGTCATAAGTTATAAAATAGTAAAAGGCATTGTAAACGGTTTTATTGACACTTCCCCATTTGCTACATTTCTATATATAGTATTTTGTTTTGCCCGATTTTTATTTTTAACCACTGATAAGTCCTAATGGCAAAATGGCGGTCATAAGTTATAAAATAGTAAAAGGCATTGTAAACGATTTTATTGACACTTCCCCATTTACTACATTTCTACATACAGTATTTTGTTTTATCCGATTTTCATTTTTAACCACTGATGAGCCCTAACGGCAAAATGGTCAAGTTCCCTTTGGCTTTCTCGATCGACTTACTGAAATAAAGCTCTTCGTATTTATACTGATTATGTATTACCTAAGTAGTGATGTTTGTGTGATATTGAATATGTGTACAGTAATCGTACATATTGCTGAACGAAGCCATTACTCGTGTTAATAGAGTTCGTCTGATGATGTGGTTATAATAACCATATAATAAATCCAATATTACCAACGGGGGATAGGTCACCTATCATTACAGCGTTTCATTTTGTTTTTTCAATGATGTCCAAGAAAAATAAGTTTTGTATACGTCATTTCAGAGGGTAGACTGTTCTAGATATGACGGAATGAGATCGTTAACACGTTCTATCTTAGATAGTTTGTTTGTGCACCCCATTCCCATGTATAGCAGTATTATATTGCTGTTTGATATGAGATTTGACATATTAGAGTCATATTAATGCCAGGTTAAATTAGATAGCTCGATTTTACCTTCTCTAACGCGTCTATAAGCCAATCAGGAGGCAGGGAGATTAAGAGTCGTTCTAGGAGGGAATTGAATCACATACCCTTAGTTTAGTGGNACAGAATTGTTTATTTTGTCCCAGTGTTTTTCCGACGACGTACTTTGTACTGGAGCTGTGGTAAAGTTTGTACTGTGTCTTCGCTCTTTAAAATACTTGCTCAAACAAGGGCAATAAATGATAATGTTACATTACACACAGTCACGTCATACACAGTCACGTGCGTCTTCATCTTATCCGTAACATATTATACAAATAAGATAGGATGTGGCATACGTTAGTCTCATGCAGTGTTTGCATCCGTCAAACGGACAAATAATTGAAATCAGTTACCCAAAATATAAAGGATGGTTGCCATATTCAGCCGTTTTACAGTCCCTCACCGATAAGCATTTAGCACATTGCAACATTTCCAAAGAAATATCCATAAGGTCACCACTACCACTAGTGCGGAATGTGTTGTCCCTTAGTAATCCACATTCTGAACTCAGTTATTTTGTTGGTCATTTCTTGTGTAACACCACGGACTTAGATAATCTAATTCCGTGGTAACACGAGGTACTGACAACGGAACAACGTGGCACACTAATAAGCATAATTAAAAATAAACATTGACCTTCATTTCACATAAAGAAATAGCACGTTTTCCTATGGGAGGATAATGGCTACTAGAAAACTTTTCCACAATCTTCATAAAAATCTGCATATTTGGAAACCCCGTGTTGTAAGTTTGCCACTCATCATTCGACATATATCACGGAAATTATGATATTCGGCGGACTTCTTGAATAGCAGATCAACTGTGACATATAAACATCGTCAGTTGGAGATTCAGTGATGTTATTATCATCAAAACGTCATTTATAAATAACTCACTGGTTGTGGTATTAAAAGCTTTGTATAATGTGTATTTACCAACCGGAAGGAAATATTTCGAAAAAGTATCCTTGTGTGTTTAAGATGGGTTTTTTTTCTAATTAAGAGGAAACCCGATTGTTGAAGTTTACACAAATCGACCTCAATGCATCATGAGAAATGCATGCATTGATAGTCATTGGTACATTAAAGAAAATTAAGCGTTTGGAATGGATTGGGTTGATTACATTACCTAACTTTAAAGTAAAACGTCGTGTTTCCCTTTCGCGCTACCATTCCCCGATCATATCTCCCCATACTATCCTACTTTCGACATACTGCACACGTATTTTTGAGAAATCTCCCAATATGTGTTACCGATACAATGACACTAAATGTGTAATATTTCACTGTACACATCCATGCGTATATATATCAGTGTCCCTAATCTTATCAGTGAACTATGATACAACTGAGATTAGACACGTCGGACAATAGTTTCACGCAGTTCTTTACAGCTGTAGACGGAGGAACAATGTACATTTAGTTTAACCACGGACTTAGATAGCATAATTCCGTGGTTTAACCTAAACTAAATTTAAATGTCTGGTTTACACAGGTTGCTACTAATGTGGAAATCGAAAGAGTTTCTAATTTGCCTGCTATGTTCTTTGTGCTAGATGGTTAGGCTACTTGAAGAGATACCTAGGAGGTGTGTCCCTTAGTTCGTGACCACCTTTGTAACATCACCCTGCTACCATTAGACTGGCCTCCATCACTAGAATATTGAATTATTTTGAAAATGTAAATTCTTGTACGTTTGATCACTTGGATGTCTAAGTTCTCAAACTAGGGGCAGATAAGCCAGTAGCAAATGTAGCTAGCACATTCTTCATAAAAACTTAGCGGCTAGTAGCCAGTCTACCTGACCACATATCTTCAATAAGATTTATCAGGTTGGAAGGATACATGCATCAGGGGATAAAGCTGTCCGTTCGTAAACAGTACTTGGTGATTTTAGAACGAGGGTCATATTTATAATTAAATACTTCACTATTATATGCATGTACAATGAACATGGTCCGTTAACAAGGATATATTCTAGCAGTTGCATTGTAGGATGCTACTAAGTACCATTAAGTTTTTCCAATAAAGTTTCCAATAAAGTTTGAATTGAATTGAACGTATGGTCATATTTTGTCACCGGTCTAGCGACTTATTTACTGGAAGGATATATATATAGAGAAATCAAAGTTAAAGTGGTCAAGTATGCGAACAGGTCTCGAACGAGCTTGTTTCAGGGTGCCATGGTCAAGGCCAAGGTCACCGTTACTTTTTATGTGTATGTATGTTGTTGTTTTTTATCGCTGGAGCTACTTCACTCCTACATGGATTTTAAGCTATCGGTTTAGGTATAAGGATTGAGAGATGGACTATAACCGCTTGGGGGACTGTTCCATTATGCATTAACGCAGCGGGCAGAGCCTTGTCTCCATATTTTGAAAACCGAATCACTGTGCGGCATGAATCGAGATCAGGGTCCCGCTAACTCACCGAGAACATTACAAGTAAACCCTGTATATAATGGGGCATTTCTTTGGCTTAAGACATACTCCTTGAGGAAATCGGGTCGGAACGTCCACAATTGCTTATTCGGGATCAGAGCATCTCCAATGAGGTGGCTCCGTTGCCTCCGGGAAAGTTGGTATTAGGTAGACATGACCAAGACTTGCATAAGAATCTTCCATCACAGCACACAATATCAGACTGGGGTTCAAGTCGTGTGGGATGAATCCGGCAGCTATACCAGATATCATAGCTCCCTCTCGCACAAAAGACAATATCTAAACGTGCCCGATGATACTTCAAATGTTGTGGAAGCACCTGTAGATATATTCGTATTCNCAGTTGTAAATAAAATTCCTTCTAAAAAATACACTGTGGCTGACTAACCATATTAGCTGTCTGTTTAAGTTGTAAGCAGCATTGGTTTTCCTTTATTTAGATGAAAGAAACTCAATACAAATCGACCTTGTATGATACCAGTGTAAAACACTTATGTGTAGATATATAAAATTGGTCTGTCATATATATACCAATATATATCAAAGAAGATAACACATTATACAAAGGGAGGCAACTGTTATGCTCCAGCAGTGTTAATTTGTAATTGTCTTCTCTTAAATATTTTATCCAATGATTTAAATACATATATTGACTTTTGCTTTTTACATTGAGATTCAGAAGGATTATAGTTTTGTTTTAACACTAAACATAAACAATGCTACTGTTACATGTGCTCAATAGTTACATTTTAAAAAATGCTTTCTGAATAACAATAAAATATACCATATTTATTCAATACCTTTTCATTCACATTGCATTAAAATTATCTTCTCATTTTATCTTGTAACTTAATCTAGAAGATTTACTCCTAATTTTACCAATCTTCCGAGAAACCAAGCTATTAAATGTAACATCAGTTGATAATTACATTAAAACCTGTTTCATTTAGTAATAAAATCATTATGAAACGTACTCTGATATTATATAAATAAAACGTACAAACATGAACCCATGTTAAACCTAAATTTTAAGTCATCCTTTTAGAGGGCCTATTACAGGGACATATATAGGACACCTGTATGTAGTAGAGTTAATTGTTTATTGTATTGTACTTTTGTTGATTATGTCAGCTTACGGTTGTGTAGTTTACAATTACAAATTTACAACATGTTGCAACGAAATAAATTACTTTTATAAATACCATACTGATCTACAATTACACGTATGTTTGATCCGGTTATAAGGACCAGAAGTCACCATTTAAACATGCCTATAATCAATCCTTCAAAATTCTCCAAAATTTCGTCGACGTACATCGTTTTTGCAGGTTTTCTATGATGTTTAGTTATAAGTCATCGTGTTCTCTTCAAATGCCACTGAAAACAAACTATTTGGTGGAAAAGGTTATGAATATCTCTTTTGCTATTCCATCAGAGAAAAATACACAAATTCAATTTTAAAGAACTATTTCAACATCTTTCTGATCGTGTACCAATTGGGTAGTGTACCAATTGTGGAAGCGTGAAGTTATATGTTCAAAATCATGTTTAAAAATAGATTTTACTGCCTATAGATACATCAACAAGAGAACATCAATAACCGTTGTGTTTGTAGTGAAGGAAACATTTACCTTCTGAAAAGGTTGGTTTGTATTCGATTTATGTGGCGTTTGTGAGTTTTGCTGCATCCTCATTTAATATATTAAAGCACATTTCTGCTTATTATTTCAGCATTCGTGTTGCATGATGGTTGACACAACAACAAATTGTTAAAACAAATTGAAAGTATGGATAATATTAAATTTTAATGCATGCGCTGAAATCATTTACAAAGCACATTTAAAAGTCGATCACAACGTAAGGTACGTCATTGATGTGCCTATGTAGTGGGTTTCATGTGGACGTGACTTACAGTTTTTTAGTATTTTATAATTATGAAAAAAAAGAAAAGTCAGCGTATATAAACTGTAATAATTTAACAATTTTCGAGATAAATTCAATTTTATGCAACAAATACATTATATAATACAGTCACACCTGGGCAACAGTTCATTTTGGTTACGTGTTCTTTCATAAAGTTGATTTACTGAGCATTCAGTCTGATCACGTGTACGGTAGCCTTGTGTGGTCGGGTGAACGTAATCGCATATCGTATCGTTATGTAATCAAATAAGCATTCTCTATACAACTATGAAAGCAATCCTGTTTATGTTGCCGGCTTTAATGGACTTTGAGTTCTGATATTATACTTGTGTTGACGATGTATATTTTCTAAATGCGTAAGGTATATTTTGCCCTTGTGAGTTGACAATGTGATATATTTCATTGTGGTGGGTTGACGCTGTGATACACTTTGTCCTTGTATGCTGTATTGTATCTTTGCATGTCGACGGTATGATATATGTTGTCCCTTCGTGTTGTCAATGAAGTTTATTCTGTCCATGTGTTGCCAGAATTGTTTATTTTGTCCCAGTGTTTTTCCGACGACATACTTTGTACTGGAGCTGTGGTAAAGTTTGTCCTGTGACTTCGCTCTCAAAACACTTGCCCAAACAAGGGCAATAAATGATAATGTTACATTACACACAGTCACGTCATACACAGTCACGTGCGTCTTCATCTTATCAGTAAAATATTATACAATAAGATATGATGTGGCCGACGTTAGTCTCATGCAGTGTTTGCATCCGTCAAACGGACAAACAATTGAAATCAGTTACCCAAAATATAAAGGATGGGTGCCATATTCAGCCGTTTTACAGTCCCTCATCGATAAGCATTTAGTACGTAAAAAAGTTTTCATTTGCCACGAATTAATCCCGTTGCATCATTTCTATGGAAATATCCATACGGCTCACCAATACCACTAGTGTGGTGCCAGGTATTGTTTCCAATGTCTTCGATGATAATGCATCCATCTTTGTGATAGGAAAGCCGATTAGGAATGAATTGCTCAACCGAGATCGCCGAGGGATTTATCTGCGTTTGCTGGGGGTATCGAAATAACTCATTAAAATGTTTGTCCATTACCAATACATTCATTGATGACCGGTCCGCCACGGCGATATTTTTTGTCACGGGACATTCAGCGATATGCCTTGGCAGGCAAACAATCGGTTTGCTGAACAATGAAAAAAGGGTTGGCTTAGTTGTGATGATGACGCCTCCTTGGCTGTTGAATTTGGTTATTTGTTTTGACATGCCGACGATGAGATGGCCATCCATGGTCACACAGATACATAAAGGGGACTCGTCTGTGTAGAACCTAGGAGTTGGTGGCGCTGACGTCACCTCGATGACGCTATTATCGTCAATTGAACAAATCCAAAGTTCTTGCTTTTCATTGGAGAAACTAAAGTCTGTGATTTGCCTTCTATGATCTATGGTGTCTAGTAATCTTCCGCTCCTGTCAATACGCACGATGGTTCGTAGATAAGTATCGTCTATCCATGTGTCGCCATTTCGCATTTTCGCCATCACGGTAATGGGAATGATGATTTCCCTTTCCAAAGGCTGCCGTACAGAATTGTTCTGTGGACGCGGCTGAGATGGGGTTTCCTTATTCCTCGTCTTCTTCCTTCTTGACTGATTATGCAACGGTCTAGATGACCAAGGATGTGCTATAACTGGGGTTTGATTCTCCTCTTCAGGTTGGCTAAAAGGTGTATATGGTTGGTTCGAAGCGGGTTGAAGTTTTGGAGATGATTCTGACTGTTGTTTATTAGATTGTCCAGCTCGTTGTTCTTTCGGGGGGACGACACCTTCGGGTAATTTACCTGTTTGTTGTTCTGTTGCTTCTTCCTTGTCCTTGGGTACTTCATTGCCAGATTTTCTTACCACTGGGACATTACTAGGATTTTTGTCTTTCATCACTGTACCGAACGCTTGTTTGAGGTTGTCAAGCGGCATTAGGTTCGCAGAAAAACTGGCCGTGTTTAGTGTCGGCTTTACTGGCAACGCTACTGGGGATTCAATATTGGCATCACTGTCATACACGGTGATATCATCTCCAGTCTGGATCAGAGACCTACAATTCTCTATCTGACCCTTTAACATCGCGAAATGGTTTTCGTGTTCTTTCTTGTAGTCCTTCAATAGAGTTACGTTTTCTATTTTTAGTTTCTCGTACACAGCGAGTGTTTGGTCTGCAAGTAAATCTATTTTCCGCTTTAGTTTATCTCTCTGTTTCGTTACGTCCGCGGCAAGGCTTTCAAATGTGGCTTCGGTTTCCTTGATCTCGACGTCAATGGATTTGATACTTTTCCTTATTGAAGGAATGCCATCTGTTTCTTTTTTGCTTATTAACTTTTGAAGTTTCTTTTTCTTTTTTGTAGAAACGTTACTCAGAGTCAAAAAGTTGTGACCGCTGTGAATTGAAGACGTACATTCGGTACAGGCAATGTCTTGACAATTTTCACAAAACAACACCGACGATTTCCCATGGTGATAAATACATGAATTCTGTCCCTTTACACGAATTGGAATTTGACCTCCCTGTTGTGTTAGACTTTCAGCCATTACTAATTCACAAATCACGTATCACTTATTGTGTAGTGTTACAGTATTGTCACACGTTCAGAACGGATGGATAATTCAACCACAATACCGAAGTATTTCCCAAGAACGAAGAAACAATTGATTATAGTATATCCTTACATTTTAACACACATGTCCTTCACGAATCATGTACAGGTATATTTTAGTGATGAGGCTGTTCTAATATACAAATGTATGTTTTATCGTCACTATCTCATATGCATTCATACCATCGGAGCATGCGCAAATAGTCATCCTATATCAGATCAATACAATAAAGAACAAACAGTAATCTGGTCATATGGTGCATTTTATTATCTGCCGTGGTTTAGTGATAATTTAACGCCACAAGGTGGTAGACTCAGCTGATGGACTATCTATCAGTCGTTACATTGGCCGTAATCTTGTAGCTGGACTATCAGTCGTTAGATTGGCCGTAACCTTGTAGCTGGACTATCAGTCGTTACATTGGCCGTAACCTTGTAGCTGGACTATTGGTCGTTAGATTGGACGTAACCTTGTAGCTGGACTATCGGTCGTTACATTGGCCGTAACCTTGTAGCTGGACTATTGGTCGTTACATTGGCCGTAACCTTGTAGATGAAACTGATTCCAGCAGGGTGTACATGAAATACGTAGTTTAAGAATAAAATATTTGTTGCGGTCATAAGTTATAAAATAGTAAAAGCCATTGCAAACGGTTTTATGAACACTTCCCCATTTACTACATTTCTACATAAAGTATTTTGTTTTTCCTGATTTTTATTTTTTCCAACTGATGAGTCCTAATGGAAAAATGGTGCAGTTCTCTTTGGCTTTCTCGATCGACTTACTGAAATAAAGCTCTTCGTATTCATAGTGATTATTTATTACCGAAGTAGTGATGTTTGTTTGACATTGCATATGTGCCCAGTAATCGTACATATTGTTAAGTGAAGTCATTACTCATGTTAAAAGAGTTCGTCTGATGATGTGGTTAATTAATCCAATATTACCAACGGGGGATTGGTCCCGTATGATTATAGCGTTTCATTTTGTTTATTCAATAATTCACCAGAAGTTATTTAGACGTCATTTCAGAGGGTAGACTGTTCTAGATATGACGGAATGACATTTATCGTTAACACGTTCTATCTTAGATAGTTTGTTTGTGTACCCCATTCCCATGTGTAGCAGTATTATATTGCTGTTTGATATGAGATTTGACATATTAGAGTCATATTAATGCCAGGTTAAATTAGATAGCTCGATTTTACCTTCTCTAACGCGTCTATAAGCCAATCAGGAGGCAGGGAGATTAAGAGTCGTTCTAGGAGGGAATTGAATCACATACCCTTAATTTAGTGGCTTTTCTGTAGGCATGTTGAATTAATTCTCTATGTTTCATTAAAGAAGAGCGGACTCCACACATGGTTGACATATTCTAAATGAGGTCTTGCATGTCCTCTTTATAAATCATTCAAATATTTTGTCAGAATATTCAAGAGTTCTCCTATGTTATATATGTTATCCCTTAATAATCAGCATTTATACTGAACTCAGTTATTTTGCTGGTCATTTCTTGTGTAACACGAGGTACTGACAACGGAACAACGAGGCACACTAATAAGCATAATTAAAAATAAACATTGACCTTCATATCACATAAAGAAATAGCACGTTTCCCTATGGGAGGATGATGGCTACTAGAAAAGTTTTCCACAATCTTCATAAAAATCTGCATATTTGGAAACCCTGTGTTGTAAGTTTGCTCCTCATCATTCGACATATATCACGGGCATTATGATAACTTCTTGAATAGCAGATCAACTGTGACATATAGACACCGTCAGTTGGAGATTCAGTGATGTTACTATCATCAAAACGTCATATATAAATATAACTCCCTGATTGTGCTATATGAAGCTTTGTACAATTTGTATTTACCAACCGGAAGGAAATATTTCGAAAAAAATACTGGAAGGATAGAAATCAAAGTTAAAGTGGTCAAGTATGAGACCAGAGCCCGTATTCATGAAACCGTTCTCATGCTCAAGCATGGAGTATGTGCTCAAGCCTGATTTCTTTTTCCGGTAATAACTCGATTATAAAACTTTATTTTGTCAATGATTTGGAAAATCTTTGAAGAGACTTAAAGTCGAATACTGTTTTCAATGTTTTAATTTTATGTTTTGATCGTTTGATATGATTTAAGCGAGTTACAAGAATGTTGATTTGAGCACATTCTAGCAGGAAAACTATTTTCGAGAGCGATATATTAAGTAGTGGAAGATTTAGGATTTCCGTGTAACAGTTGCTTGGGAAAGCTTCTCGCCTGGCTACGAATATGAAGCTGAAGACTCCATTTGCAAGAGGAAAACTTGGGCAGATCAGGTGGGACATAAAATTGTTCACGAGTTTAATTTTTGTGGTTTCTTTAAAAAATGGAATAACATAAACAAGATTTGGTTATAGCGAGAAAGGTTTCGGTATTCTTGGCAACTCGGGGGGTGCGCGACTGTTCCATTAACGCATTAGGCAGAGCCTTGTCTCCATAATTTGAAAACCGAACACACTGTGCGGCTTGAATCGAGATCAGAGTCCCGCTAATCCTGTATATATTGGGGCATTTCTTTGGCTCGAGACATACTCCTTGAGGAAATCGGGTCGGAACGTCCACAATTGCTTATTCGGGATCAGAGCATTTCCAATGAGGTAATCGACTCCGTTGCCTCCGGGGAAGTTTGTATTACAGTGGACATGACCAAGACTTGCATAAGATTCTTCCATCACAGCACACAATACCAAACTAGGGTTCAAATCATGTGGGATGAATCGCGCAGCTTTACCAGATACCATAGCTCCCTCTCTCACAAAAGACAATATCTAAACGTGTCTGATGATACTTCAAATGTTGTGGCAGCACCTGTAGATATATTCGTTGTTACTGTTCCAGACCAACTTGCTGTGGCGACACCATGCGAACGGGTAATTTCGCCCTCTTCTGAGATTACACCAGTGATGCTTACGTTCGTTAGTTCGGGTTCCGCGTTGTTTCTGCAATCTAATTAAAACTAGACTTATAATTCTGCTCCTCTACGATACACTCCAATACAAGCCTATTTTTTATTAAATTGGAAGTTTCTGCCTTTTCGTTCAATCTCTAACATGTCATCGTATAGTGTTAACATACTGTTATTTAACTTTTATCGGGTTATATAAGAAAGCTGAAATTGTGTGATGTAAGATTGTATAGCATTACTTAGCGATATTTCACCTGAGTTTCATACTAGGGTTCGTCAACGGCTAGGTTGGTGAAGCTCAAACAATACCTGTAATAATGAATGTCTCCTGGCAAGCAAAAGATATGTCAGACACCCAACAACACAAACAGTGAACAAATCAGAAGCAACGTCTTTTCAGCCAATTGTGTAACAATTCAACATGGTAGATACTGAAAATTGTATCCTTGAAAACTGATTATAAAATCAACAACTCAAGACCAATGTAAATTTAATATCATTTTTATTTATTATATTTTTTAAATGCATATAAAATGTGATATACAGTGTAATTTTAAGTATAACTGTTTATTCACTTTTGGTACCTTATATATTCCAGATGATAATAATCTACGCTTAAGTCTCACCGTCTATACAGATATGAACAATATTAATGAAAAGAAGGTTAAATTTGTATCTCTTAAAATTAATATATACGTGTCCCATTTATCTTAAAAGTGTATTACAAAAATGTACAACTATCTTAGGATTGGGACTTGAAACTGACCTCAATAATTCTGTGTACAAATTGTATCAGAAATCATGAGGGTAGACCTGCTACCACTGTTTCTGTCTATGAATAATTCATGAATGGTCAGGAATAATAACATGAATATTCAGATATATCATGAATATTCATGAATAATAACATGAATATTCAGATATCTTTTCATTCATTAACATTGGCACTGTAGTTGAATATTTATTTTCTGAGATGTATTTAATGTCTTGTTACAAACAATTACTTACATGATCTATCAACATTCTAGGAATACTATCCATCTGTTGATTAATCAAAAGAATGGACCTTGCTTGTACCACATCAAAACATTTAATGAATTACTTCATTCTTCAGGTTTCCACTGGAAAATCATCTATCCCATTTTGAAGAAGTACCTGTTTACAAACTTTTTGTGATTAAAAAATCATTGTTTATTCACTCTTTGCAAATCCAAGTTGTAAATAAAATTTCTTCTAAAAAATACCCTGTGGCTGACTAACCATATTGGCTGTCTGTTTAAGTTGTAAGCAAAATTGGTATTTCTTTATTTAGATGATAGAAACTCAATAAAAATCGACCTTGTATGATACCAGTGTAAAACACTTATGTGTAGATATATAAAACTGGTCTGTCATATATACCTATATATATCAAAGAAGATAACACATAATACAAAGGGAGGTAACTGTAGTGCTCCAGCAGTGTTAATCCGTAATTCTTGTCTTCTCTAAAATATTTTATCCAATGATTTAAATACATATATTGACTGTTGCTTTTTACAATGAGATTCAGAAGATTTATAGGTTTGTTTTAACACTACACGTAAACAATGTTACTGTTACATGTGCTCAATACTTACATTCTTAAAAAAATCTTTCTGAAATACAATAAAATATACCATATTTATTCAATAACTTCATTCACATTGCATTAAAATATTCTTCTCATTTTATTTTGTAACTTAATCTAGAAGATTTACTCCTACTTTCACAGTCTTCAGAGATGCCAAGCTATTAAATGTAACATCAGTTAATAATTACAATAAAACCTGTTTCATTTAGCAATAAAATCTTTATGAAACGTACTCTAATATTATATAAATAAAATGTACAAACATGAACTCATGTTAAACCTAAATTGTAAGTCATCCTTTTAGAGGGCCTATTACAGGGACATATATAGGACACCTGTATGCAGTAGAGTTTATTGTATTGTACTTGTGTTGATTATATCAGCTTACGGTTGTGTAGTTTACAATTACAAATTTACAACATGTATTCTGGTAAAAATCATACAGTGAATGACAACCATGCAGTTTTCTGTTTGTAACTTTCCTCTTTAATGTAAGACAAGTGACCTGCACTAATTTGCATACAACTGGACCTGCACCAATTTGCAAATAACTGAAGAAAACAACTGAAAATTCAAAAACAATCTTAATCTAGATATTTCAGTTGTTACACTAAAACATCAAAAATATTAAAATCAGTTTGTAATTTAAACTTGTTCTGTTTTTTCCAAAGCAGCTGTGATTTCATTCATTTTGATTAAGAATACATAATATAAAATGCCCACTGAAAAAGCTTTTTTATTTTTTCCAAATAAGTTTTAAAAAATTCAAATAGAAGTTCAGATTTTTTAAACATTGTGCAAAATCAAAGAGTCCAAAAAACTTGACTGTGAAAATAGTACGCAGTTCTGGTTTAATAGAAATCTGTTTCAGATATCAAAATCTAAAAATAGTTTTCTTTTAATGTTTTAGTACAATGTATTTTGATAAAAATATGAATTACATACATTTTAAGAATGTCCTTANCACCAATGGTGACCCAGCACCAGTTTTAGGAATAAACAGACTCCGGAAGACTTCATAAAAATACTGATAATACACTCACCACTCACTTAAAATCACACATTAGACCGATCCCTGTTACTAGGGACCCTCAAAACAGACTCCTACCATCCAAGCTATTTTTCCTTGGTAAAATTTGAATTCAGGAAAGTTTTTCCCAGACATTCACCCATGAAAATCAATCCACACAACACACATCTTTCAATCACTAGCACACATTTCTATCACACCTCCGTGCCGTCATCACCAGGGGGCTCTGCTCGATTAGACAAGACCGCCAACAATTGTTCAAATTTATTGAGCCTTAATGTCCGTTCCACACTTGCCCCTTTGGAGCCCCATAGTAGTTTCATTTGGAACTCTGTGCGAAACACATCCAGTAGTTCAGTATCTGGGGTAAATGTGTTGAGCAATGCCTGCCCTGTGACACTGTACAGTCCAGCTTGGGCCGTGATCAGACGCGCTGTGTCAAGATGTGTCAACAAAATATCCAAACCTGAGTTTGGATCTGCATTCTCCCAAGGGAGATAATCTAGCAGAGATTCATCGTCCCGTTCTAGCAGCACCACAAGAGAACTGATATCCGGTATGGTGACATTCTGGAGGGGGAGTAGGCCACTGCCGTCGTTGAGCGACTTGAGAGCTGCCTTGTGTTTAGTGTCGAAGATGAAGGCACTGGACGTATGATTCTGTCTCAACACCATCCATGTATCCCTCAGCCTCTGGATCTGTGACAAGGAGGTTACCATCAGTCTCATACAGGGGTCAAACGTGTACACAGCAATCAAGCAACACTTACATGATGATATACTTGATCTTTTTGATAACTTATATCTATTAACAAGCATTCTAGGAAATGATAACGTAAGTATGGATCTCAAAACAGTAAGTGGTTCAATATAACTTGAATAGTGCATGTCTCAAAACTGATAGGAATATATCATTTTATCACTTAAACAATTCATGATCTGTTGGATCATTAGCACAGAAATGTCTCAAAAGCACTTGGTGGAAAATATCAGAAATTACCAGTCTGGTTCATAAGGAAATGAAATCGTTGATGACAGATTTTAAAATCAATATAAATGGTACCACTAACAAAATAAATTTTCAATACTTTCCTTGGTTACAACATTACTTTAATGCTAAGTACTGACCTGGGTACTGGCCAGTCCTTCCATCACAGCAGAGAAAGCAAACAAGTTTCCTAGAGTGACCCTCAGCTGGAGAGCAATCTCTATCCACTGACTGAGCATCTTGGCACGGTCCGTAACTTTCTGACACGTCAAAATTGTCGTCCTCGTGAACAATTTCAAACAGTAACACCTGAAATCATTGTCACAATAAAGATTAATATTTGGCTCAAACTTTCAAGCTAAGTAGGGCTTTTACAGCTGGAACTATTTTACATTTATCAGTTTTAAAGTTCTTTTGATTTTGCTAAATTAATTTACTACTAACAGCTATTGTCATTTAAGGACAAGTCAGGTTTTTGAGGTGAAAGAAAACTTCAAAGTTCCAAGAGAAAACCACTGATATGCCGCCAGTGCCTGGCCACTGCCCCGCGTAGGCCTCGAACGGTGGAGACTAGTGACCGTAGATGGCCAGATGCCTTAAACACTCGACTACCAATGCACCATTGCAGTCCTTTTAAATGTGTTTCAACCTCATTTTTCTTTTCTTTTTTCCAGAGCATGAGAACTTGGCATAGTGATTGACATTAAACTTACATCCACTAAACAATACAACACAATAGTCTAGTTGTTCATGCTTATTTAATTGAATGATATGTTAATACAAGTCTAATACATTTTCAAACTATACAAAATTTATAACCCTATTTTGAAATTCCAATTAGACTATAACAACCAGCCTTGTACTAGTGGAGTGGTACTATGTTATTACACTTTACATCATAGCAACTTTGAATGACATGATTATATTTGATGTTACCANCACATTTTCAAACTATAGAAATTTATAACCCTATTTTGAAATTCCAATTAGGCTTTAACCACCAGCCTTGTACTAGTGGAGTGGTACTAAGTTATTACACTTTACATCATAGCAACTTTGAATGACATGATTATATTTGATGTTACCATTACACTTGATATCTAACTTTTATTTTATGCAACTGATTTATCTGGAAATATGCCCATGTTGATATTAAAAAACAATCCCATATCTATTGTAGTTCAGTAGAAATACCAACCCCATTACACTTGATGTAAAGGTTACACCTGATTTTACGATTACATCTGATGTTACGATTACACCTGATGTAAAGATTACACCTGATGTTACGATTACTTGATGTAAAGATTACACTTGATGTAAGGATTACATTTGATGTTACGATTACATATGATGTTTCGATTACACCTGATGGTACGATTATATACATCTGATGAAAAGATTACAACTGATGTTACGATTACATCTGATGTAAAAATTACACCTGATGTAATGATTGCACCTGATGTTACGATTACTTGATGTAAAGATTACACCTGATGTAAAGATTACACCTGATGTAAAGATTACACCTGATGTTAAGATTATACCTGATGTAACGATTACGTGATGAAAAGATTACACTTGATGTAAAGATTACATTTGATGTTACAATTACATCTGATGTAAAGATTACACCTGATGTTACGATGACACCTGATGTAAAGATTACATTTGATGTTACGATTACATCTGATGTTACGATTACATCTGATGTAAAGATTACACCTGATGTTACGATGACACCTGACGTAAAGATTACATTTGATGTTACGATTACATCTGATGTTACGATTACACCTGATGTAAAGATTACACCTGATGTAAAGTTACACCTGATGTAATGATTACATCTGATGTAAAGATTACACCTGATGTTACGATTACATCTGATGTAAAGATTACACCTGATGTTAGGATTACGCTTGATGTTACAATTACATCTGATGTTACGATGACACCTGACGTAAAGATTACATTTGATGTTTGGATTACACTTGATGTTACGATTACATCTGATGTAAAGATTACACCTGATGTAAATATTACACCTGATGTTACGATTACACCTGATGAAAAGATTACATTTGATGTTTGGATTACACTTGATGTTACGATTACAACTGATGTTGATTACACTTGAAGGGACCATTTCAGTTTATGTTCCATGTCTTTAGCAAAAAAAGTAAACCATTTATAACAAGCTTGCTTACCTTTCAATTGTGTCCTGTCGCAGTTGTTTCCCTTGAGGAAGTGTGATCAGCTCCAGTCCCGATTCCACTCCTACCCCTAGATCACAGTCAGTAATAACCTTAAGGCTCTCAAGGTCAATCTTTGTCATGTGTAATGCTAATATTCTCGCATCTGTTGAAAGTAGCAAGCTTTTCACAGTCACTAATGTTGATGTTTCCAAAGGTTTATTTTCTTCTGGCAAAATATCACTGGAATACTTCGGGATGTTTAACGTTGATCCAACATTATCAGTGGGTATAGAGATTGTTCTACCTTTAGACCTATTGAGCATGTCAGAACTAGAGATATCTTCAAAATTGTTACCACTTGTCTTATTGGTCGGAGTTTTATTGGTTGGAGTATCTGGAACCGTGGCATAGTCGCGATTGTCTAAATATGAAAATTTTGTATCAGAAGTTAACCTTGACCTTTGGCTGTCAGTGTTATTCAAGTTTCCGTTTGGCACGGTTTCCTGATTTTGATTCATATTGTATGGAATTTTCTTGGAGTTATAATTATTGTCATAATCACTCATATGGGAATCTCCAGCTAAATTGGCATTTTGGTCCACAGGAAATCCTCTTGTTTGATTGGACAAGTTGTTGTGTTCTAGCCAACTAGGTCCTTCCTTCACCTGACTATAATCTGAATAGTCCCGCCCATCATCTTCGTACATGTTGGGATTTCGTACTTGGATTACGGGCCGTTTTTTATATTTAATGGAAGGTATACGACTAGGTTTGGGAGGAGCAGGCTTGGTGAGGTTGCTGTCAGAAATGGCAGGGGTGAGTTTTTGCATTGGAGGTGAAACTTGAAGGTACTGTCCCTGCCGATTACTTACAATGAAAAGACCTGGGTCCATCAGTACCGGTTCACTCCCACACCTTGCATGATATGGAGGTAAACTTGATGCTGAAACAGAGTTCTTCATTGTCAATGAAGTGCTCCCAAGTTTGTTTGGAATGCTGGGTAGACTGTCACACCGATCTATGTTTGACATTACTGTATTCTCCTGTTCCACCGTGTCCACTATGTCCAACAATGGCTGACTTCCTGTGCGCAGTGGCCGTTTGTGTCGCGACTTTGGACTACCCCGAGGACTGACTTTGGGGCTATTGTACGGACTATTATGGGGGCTCTGTGTGGGAGTATAAGCATAGTCTGCCGCACCAATCAGACTTGCCTTATTACCATATTTGGAGTCGTAGTAGCTCAGCGGCATTGTTCGACCAATGGGATTTTTTATCACAGCTCCGGATACTTTTGTGACCCCTTTCCTGTGGGACATGTAAAAGTCAATCAAATCCTGAACTGAAGCAAACTTCTCATCCTCAAAAAAGTACGATATTTCTGGTGTTCTAGAATTAGGTCTTTCCGTTATTTGAGAATTTATTACAAAGTGTATTGGTACTCCACGACAACCAGTAGTCAGTACAAAATCTCCAGGCTGGGATATACAGTCTCTCACAATGAAATCTCCGTCACGAGTCACTATCTTCTCTGCATGTTGCCGAGAAATATTCCCATGATACCAGGGCCAATGTTGAAGCTCGGACGGATCAGATCTTAGCTCTGCTGTAAGATCACGCTCTAGCCGTTCTGCAGAGACGTTCACAACTTGGTAGTCGGGGTAACTGGGTGCTTGCTGTGAGGTCGGTACCGTTTGTAACCTGTGAAACACAAAGAAAAAATTTAATAAAAACTTGTCATAAAAATCATAATATATTTGTACAACTAAACTGCAAACCTTTGGTCAAGAAATTAAATCAGTGATTTAGGCTGTAAGTCATACATGGTCAGTGTTTGATGGACCGAGAATGATGGTATAGGGAAAGTTAGACAGAATAAGACAAACTTTATAATTACAAACCATAATTACCATCAGGAAGATCAATTGGTTAAAACTGACTTATAAATCACCTATCGATACAAACGTCACAAGGCCAAGCATTGCTTGGGGCCTGCTTAGTAGGTGTACCTGTAGCCATTAATATCTAATGCCAAAAACACTTCCCAGTCCTTAGTAAATAACAACACATACCTTATTGGTGTGGCTATCAATGTATGGGTGACATGAGGGTAAGGGTTCCTATAGAGAGATGACCTCAGCCATTGTTTACCTAAACTTATCATCCCTCTTACATTTCCTGCGGAAACTCCAGATAGGACCTATCCTACATTGTAAGTGTGCATGTGGCTATCCACAGCCCTAGAACACTAACCCCGGCAATAATACAAAACTTCCAGTGAATCTTAAGATGACAAAAACAAACAAGGACAATCCTGTCTCTCATCTGATTAGACAATTATATATGTACTACATGTACCAGGTATACCAAGACTTATAATACACAGTAACACAGAATCGGACAAGTTCTATAATAAAACACATAAATAAATAAAACATGTACAGGCAATCAGATAATGTCTTTTTCAAAACATTATTTGTTTATTTCTTAATTATAAATTCATTACACTGATAAAGTTTGGGGTTACTTCCTTGCATATACATGTTGTATTTGTACAGCTAGGTAGACTAACATATGTAGCACACCAAAATACTAACTTTCTCCTCTTTTTTTTTTTTACCCAATTTAGACTTTTTACTTCAGCAAAATTCTTTTTATCATACTTTTTGCTCAAATTCAATTCATTCAGAGAATAATTCCCTATAAGTGAATTAGAGTGTGTATTTCATAACTTTTGACTACAGGGACAGTTTCAGTTTTTTGATGAACTCCAGGTACATAATATAACCTTAAATTAAGTGAGAGGAAAGCTAAATTGACTAATTTTTTAACAAACACTGTTTTGTTTGCTTCTCCTCAACAACCATCAACACAAAAGAAAGATAATTAAGGTAAACCAGTGACATTAAAAGGATCACTCCCAAAATAAACGAGGAGGCTATATCTCCAGTACACTTTTGTACACCTACCTCAGATAAACAGGTCCTGATAACTGTCTGAATTAACAGAGTATTCACCACCAGGCTCTCCTTATTAAAATATGTATAATTGAGAACAGATTACGATGTAGCCCCTGAATATACAGAGTATAGCTGACCACTGCCCACTGCCCAAGGACCCTCAATTTGTAAATACAGGAATTCACCAACACACCACACCAGAAGACTCTACATCCTGATGTCTGTAGTATTAACACTGAACCACTAACAGATAGATGTACTGGCAGACTCTAATTGTCCATAAAGTAATCATACACTAAAGAAAACTGACAAGATTATCAGTGTCACCATCGTACTATATATATATATACCATAAAAACTTCATTGTTACAATACACCCTATACGGTTTTCTGCTTCGCAAGTACTAGATTAATTTGACAGTCATACCACAGAACTATATAAGCCTAAACAATACACACTTTACTGTACAATAAGCACTGTAGATCTTTCTACCTCCCAAGTCCTAGTTTATCTATATATATACACCATAATTTATATAACCCATTCATTGTACAGTCTTTCTTCATCCTGTTCTAGCTTATTGTATAAAGCCAGTTTAGACCATCAACGTGTACATAAACACAAGCGTACAATCCAAATAGTATGACCCTCAGCATGAAGATGTTTTAACAGGATTGGATAGCAATATATAAACAGTTCAAGGGCTCTGCACAGTTCATAAGGCAGTCTAGTGTCTACAGCTTGTAAACAGCATCCTATTGACTATACCATACTACATCACACAGCACAACAGCCTGGTAGCTATGTAGTAAAACAGTGTCCTTTGATATCACAACTACAACCAAGTCAGTAACACACATCCATACCAGGTCTCTCAGAGATGTGATCCCCTAGTGATACACATCAGGGTCCCAGAGAGCCAACAGACAACCATTCCAGGTCTATGAGAGATGTGATCCCCTAGTTATACATATCAGGGTCCCGGTGAGCCAACAGACAACCATTCCAGGTCTATGAGAGATGTGATCCCCTAGTTATACATATCAGGGTCCCGGTGAGCCAACAGACAACCATTCCAGGTCTCTCAGAGATGTGATCCCCCAGTAATACATATCAGGGTCCCAGAGAGCCAACAGACAACCATTCCAGGCCTCTCAGAGATGTGATCCCCTGGTCATACATATCAGGGTCCCAGAGAGCCAACATGCATCAGGGTCCCAGAGAGCCAACAGCCATTCATAACAGGTTTTGCAAAGATCCCCAGTCATTCATTTCAAGGACTCAGGGGATCCCAAACATTTAAACATGGTCCAAGAAAACCAACATACATCCATACCTGAGGTTTCTCAAGGTAACCAACATACATCCATACCTGAGGTTTCTCAAGGTAACCAACAGACAACCATACCTGAGGTTTCTCAAGGTAACCAACAGACATCCATACCTGAGGTTTCTCAAGGTAACCAACAGACATCCATACCTGAGGTTTCTCAAGGTAACCAAC